ATGAAAAACACAAAAAAAAAAGTAATAATTAAATAAAAAATTATAAAAATTTTAAATGATTTTGTTCTATCTAACCCTAGCATGATACTTTCAAAAATTAATCTTTTCATCATCATTAAATAAGAATTTTTTTTTCATTTGTTGATTTTTATAAAATTTCGTCTATTAATTATAACTTTATTTTTAGAATACAACTAGTCGGTTACTCGTGCTACTGCTGCAGTGTCGGTAGAACAAACTCATATTAAAATTTTAAAAAAATTTTAATCTTAATTTCTTATTTAATTAACTTTTTCTAATGTTTTTTATCAATTCTTTTTCTTTTAAAAACATAAGTCATTCTTCTTTATGGATTGAAAAAAAATCTTCTCATCAAAATTAAAAAAATCTTTAAAAATATATTTTTCATAATATTGTATTCCAAAAAATAAATTATAATTAATAGATAGAATTTTATAAAAACTAACAAATGGAAAAAAATTCTTATTTAATGTTGATGAGATGATTAATTTTGAAATTATCAACGCAACACTACGGTAAATAGAACAAAATCATTTCAAAATATTATAATTTTTTCATTAATTTTTTATTTAATTATTACTTTGTTTTTTTTGTTTTCATAAATTTTTTGCTTAAAAAACATAATTTAGTTTTCTTTATTTAGGAATTCCTAAATCAAAACTTGTAATATATAATTTAAACTCGAAATATTAATTAAGAATATAAAAACAAATGCTTTAAAAATATATTGTTTTAAAAGAATATATCCAAAAAATAAAGTTACAATTAATGTATAGACTTGCATAAAAATTAACCAGTGAAAAATAAAATATTTTTTATTTAATGTTGATGAGAAGATTATTTTTTTTTCAAAATACATATATTTAATTTATATATATTATATAATCATCGGTTTATATAGAGAAAAAATAGCGATTGATTTTTAAAAATTTTAACACCCAATTAAATAAAAAACGAACAAAAATTGATGGAAAAAATCAAAGAAAAAAGAAGGTATGTAGTGCATCAATTACGAAATTAAAATTTTTATTTTAAAATTCGGGGATTAAAATGAAATAATTTTAAAATTACAAAAAAAAAAAACCTAAGAAAAGAAGAAAAAAAACTAAGAGTGAAAATTTAAAAAGAAAAAAAAACCTAAAAGTGAATAGTATATTGTGAGGGTAAAAAGAAAAAAGGAAAAAAAAGGAGTGACTAGCGAGAAAAAAAGGTTTAGGATAGTAAAATTTATTTATCTTTAGTATAATAAAGATAAAAATCAAACATAATAAAAATTTAATGACTAAAATAAAAATATATCACAAAATAAAACCAAAAAAAACATAAATTTTTACTAAAAGTCAAGAAAAAAATGTTTATTATAAGGATAAAATCAAATAATATATATATATATATATATATATATATATATATATATATATATATATATATATATATGTTGTTAGAAGGAAAAAAAAAAAAAGACAAGGCAACTCGCTGGGATGTTGGGTTCAACCCAAAAGGCTGCACGGGTTCAATTAAAAAAAAAAACAAAAGAAGAAGAAGAAGAAGAAGGAGGAAGGTGGAAAACACTATTCATTGAACAGTGAAAGGAACAGTAGAAGGCACAATGAAAATGCCTTCTGTTTTAGACTATTAGTAATATTATGAAAATTATATTTTTTAATTTTTTATTAATATCGTAGTTGAAATTATTAAAATTTTTTATTTTAAAATCAATCCACAAAGAAGAATAATTTATGTTTTTTTTTAAGCAAAAAATTTATAAAAAAACATTAGAAAAAACTAATTAAATAAAAAATTATAATAAAAAAAATTTTAAAATTATTTTGTTCTATTGGACTGTCGTGTAGCATGGGTAACCAATTAGTTTAACTCTAAAGACCTGCTAGCTAAATTGGCCATAAATATTAATGGATTTGCTGAGTACTTAGTCCTCATTAACCGTTAAATCTTGAGTTTATAACTTAAGCAACATTTCATGTCTTCCTCCTTCAAAAAAATTAGTTCGTGCTACAACATAAACGTAGGCATCCTTTACTTCCATGAATCTAATATAGTGTATATTTAAAAGCTGATCCTGGGGGAAAAGAAAAGAGAGAGGAATCACTCGCTCCAATCTGTGAAATATTTAAGGGAGGCGAGAGGCAGAAAGAACCAAATATCCCCAGCTAGAATCAAAAGGGCCGGAAAGGCCAGAGAATTTTGCTAAATCGTGGTCCCTGCAGGAGGAAGTTGGGGGATATGGGTATCTCCTTTCCCTAAAGGACTGAAAGCAACACCCACGTTATGTCTTTTGTTTTCTTCTTCATGCTTTACTATCTTTTTACTCACCCTTCTTAAAACTCATTTCTCCTCCCATTAGTTTATTTAGTATACCGTCACCTTTTCGTATTCCTAATCCCCTTATTTAGTTTAGGTTTGAATTTGAAATTGGTTTTTAAGGCTCCTACCTATATGATTTTGACATGCCTCCAGTGACAAACTAAAGTTGATAGAGAAATCTACAAATCAAGATTGCTCCAAGAAGATGACAAACACGATGACCACTCCCTTAACAATATTAAAAAGAATCATTTCCCTTTATTTTTACCTTTCCAAAACATTAACAAAAGGTGTCCCTGGGCCAATCAATTCGTGTCCAACCAACGCAATATGGCATAATTGAAATTGAAACAATCGATCAATCATGTGGGTGCAGGAAAATCTTAATAAAAGACTACAGGGGATGGAATTGGATAATTAAGAAATCAGAAAGTTTGTCTCTTTGTTTCTCTAATGCCAACAATTTGCCTTTGTTAATAATTTAATTAGGCTGAAATTAACATACGAATCTTATAATTGGCCAATAAAATGCATCACAGACCACCCACTTTTGTTTCCTTCTTTTGTTTTCTTCATAATTCTCTCTTCGTCTCTCTTTCTATCTACGGTCGATGCACTGGGTAAAGCGTAAGACCCCATCTCTGCAGCTTGCAGGTATGTTTACTGATGTACTATAAAAATGAAGCACGTTGCCACTACTTAATGTACTTATCGTTTTAGATTCAACAATAACAATAAAGATATTATCCGATAAATTTTTATGTGTTTTAAAATTAATTCTTATTTGAATGATATTTTGTAATGCACAATTTCGTCTATGAAAATTGAATTCTAGACATAGCTTATAAATTGTTGTTTGCTTGGCAAGGAGGTACTCCTTGTGGTTACTGATGTACCATAAAAAATAAAGCACATTGTTACTACTTATTGTACTTATGGTTTTAAATTCAACAACAAAGATATCATCCGATCAGTTTTTATGTGTTTTAAGATTAATTTTTATTTGAATATGGTTAAATTTAAAATATTTTTAAAATACTGTCTATAAAAACTGAATTCTAGACATAACCTACGAATAGATGTTTGCTTGACAAGGAGTTACTCCTTGTGGTTACGCTTTACCCACAAGTAATATTTAGCATTTCCAAATAATATAATAATAAGATATTTAGCATTTCCAAACGTTAGAAATCATTAGGAAGAAGACGAAATATTTCTATTTGATTAATTTCATTCGTACAAGTATTTTAAATTTTAATTCTATCACAAATGTGGTAAAAATAATAAACATAATATTTTTTTTATCGAATATATAATTACTTTATTTATACACTTGTTTTATATATAAAAAAATTACTTCATTTTTGTATAAAGAAACTGTAATAATTAGAAACATAAAAAAAAAAGTGATTGAGATGCATTATTAATTCAAGCTGGAAATAGTCGTTTTCAATAAATGAACAATAGCAATCCATCTTGTATCTTACTTGTGAAAAAAGTGAAACCAAAAGTGGGATGTCTCCATTTGAGTAATTGACGTTGCGGCCAAAAATACCAGTCGGTGCGAGAGAATCCATGAATTCAAACACGAAGAATATCTTATTTTACGCAGCGAGACAGTAAAAGTTGGAGGAACTTTCTTCAGCCAATTAAGGAAGTTTTGGCCCCACCCAATTCAGCTCTTTTAATTTTACAAGTTATACCACTGTGTGCTTGTACCCACAGTCAAGACTGCCCTTTTTTTCTTGGCATGTTTTCTGAAAATTGGATCGTGTATCAAATGGGCTTAAAGCAAATCTTAACATTTTTTTATTATAAAATATTTCTTGATGCTGGATTAAATACAGCAAAAAAAAATAAAAATAATAATAATAATAAAAGAGGACAGCTGTATTACTACTACTCTCCTTGCTGATATCAAAAGCAAAATCACAAGTGGTCATGAGATTGTTCCTTCCAAAGATGTTAAACAGCAATTCGGTGAAATAAGAAAAAGAACAGAAATATTTTTTGTGAAAATAACTAAGCGAGTTTAACATTGAAAAACATAAATTAGATTAATTTAAGTTCATGTCCTTTTTTTAATGAAGTTGGTCATGAAGTATATCAGTAATATACTGACCAGGAGCTGAGGTCAGGAGGTACGTCCAAAACTGAGTTATTAAAGAAATTTGACTTTTTTGATTACTTAAAAAATAATCCAATAATAACATAACACAATAACCAACCTTTGTTGGCCATGTGGATTTAATTTTAGGTAAGCGCTCTTCTTTCAATTATTCACTACGAAGAGTTTTATAATATTCGAAGAATAACAAATTATATATATATTTATTATTTTATGAATACATTTTAAGAAGAAAGAAAAATAAAAAAATAAAAAAAATTATATTCGAATCTATTAAAAGTAATAAAAGGATTGTCACATTCGTTAAAATTTTATTTATTTTCTCTTTATTATTTTTTTGTGTTTATCTCTTTTTTCAAAATAAATTTATAGATTAACTATTATATATATTATTAATTACTCTTTTAATATTATAAAATTTTCCATTCATCTCTAATCACCAGCTAGGGTTTTGCTTTGCCCCAAAAAAAAAAAAAAAAAGAGAACGAAGGACCTGTCTCAAAGGGAATGCCAGTTGTAAGTGAAAATGGCGAGTCCTAGGGACAGCAGGCATTCGCAGGGATTGGGAGCGGGTACTGCTGATAAGGGAGAGAGAGAGAGAGAGAGAGTCGGCTGTTACCTTTTGACCTCTCCTCTGGTTCTTTTGGCGCTACCCTACACTGCCCTGCCCCCTCTTGGTTCTCTTAGGGCACCTCAATATTCTTCTGCTACATCACCTCGTGAATTTTGTCATATTGTCCAATCTGCCCCCCGGCCTCCTCCAATAATGCCACGTTAGGTGTGGCAAACTAGACAACAAAAGCCACATGGGCTCCAACTTTTAAAGGCCATTTCCGTCTTTTCATGCAGAGAACGTGTGTTTGTTTAACAAAAACTAGGTAGGTTGCAAGATTGCATCCTTCTCGGGAAGTTAATTACTGAGAACAATAGTAATTTTTTTATTTTTTATTTATTCTCGGTATATCTCATATCAAATGGGCAGATTAATCCATAATTACTCAAAAAAATTTTTCTACATAAATTTAAAATCAAAACTATTAATTTAAATAACTAAATCTATTTGCTCAATCCAATTTTTTAAAATGAGAACAATAGTATTAATAATAACAGGAAGTTGCCAAAAGCAAAAACGGTGCCGTTACCAAGAGTCAATTTAATTAGACCAAACAATTTCCGTCTCTTGATTACTAGTGTGAGCTGCTTGCATAATAATACTAGTAGTAGAGGAAGAGCAACAATGGCAAGTGATTACTGGTTGGTAGGTACATAAATTAATAATGCAGCATTAAATAATGTTTGTTAGAGTGTAGCTTAGTTTTAAGTAATTAAAAATGTTAGAGAGAGAGAGAGAGAGAGATTTTGTAATACTTCTACAACTAAAAATTTCATTCCATTTTTATACTTGCACTCTGCTGTTTTTAGTTTACCCCATGTTATTCAAATTCCACTTCCTCACACCTTCCACACTGTTTTTGATAGACATTACTTTATAAACCAAAAAAAAAAACGTCTGGGTTTGTTCTCTCTTCCATCTTTTTAAGAGTAGAACTTTTTTGTTCTTCCTTTTGAAGGGTGTGGGGTTCATGATTTGTGTTTGACTTTAAATTCTTGATTTGTGCTTTCAAAGATACAGGAATAACCATTGTTGAAAAAGGTGCTTTTCTTCACCTTTCTCTTCTTTTCCTCTCATATTATATGCTTTGTAGGTATTAAGTAACTTGTAAGAGTTGAGTCACTCATTTCTGGGTCCTGCTCGCATTATTGAGTTGGTACTGTCTTTGCTTCTCTGTGAGATTTGGGATCTGGGTTCTGCTACCTTCTATCACATTTGCACTTACCTTTTGTTGCTCTTCTTCATCATCTTCTTCGTCTTTTTTTATAGAAAAATAAAAAATAAAGGATTGATGGCTGGAGGAAAGGCTGAGGAGCCACAACCACATCCACCAAAGGAGCAGCTTCCTAACATTTCTTATTGCATTACTAGTCCACCTCCATGGCGTGAGTTTTCTCTTTCTTTCTTTTAGATTCTATGATTAAATCTATTAATTTGGGTGTTTTTTTTTTTTTTTTTTTTTATATATATAATTTGTTATCTCTGAATCTTGTTTTCGTTGGAAGTAACTTTTTAAGCTTTCTTTCTATCTTTATCTGTTTGGTATATACTCTCTTTTCAAAAGTTTAAATACTGTTTTTGTCCAAATAAACCTTACTCTTTTGTTCATTCAAGATTCTGGATACACTAACCACCTTCAATAAAATAAAATAAAATAACAGAAAGAAAGAACAAAAAGGAAAGGGAAAAAAAACCCAACTACTTTTGTAATTAATTACTATGTTTTTTATAATTTTTTGGGGATGTTTGAATGTTGATTATCTCTTGATTTTGTGTTTTGCAATTTCTTTTTAAGGTAATCTGTTGAGTTAAGAGGATCTGGTTACCTGTTAGCCTTTTTTTTTTTTTTTTCTTTTTAACTTGAGGTTTGGTATTTCCTTTTATTTTTTATTTTCATCCCCTTTTTTTTCTAACAATGTTTGAAATTGGACTAAGTAATTTGGTGTTTTCTTATTTTTAAAAATTATTGAAGTGGGTTTGCTTGTGGTTGATTATTTCAAAATTGCTTGCTGCAGCGGAAGCTATCCTACTTGGTTTCCAACATTACCTCGTGATGCTTGGAACAACTGTTCTCATTCCTACCGCTCTCGTCCCCCAAATGGGAGGTGGAAATGTAAGACTAAGGGAAAAATAACATTATACAAATAGTTCTTGTCTATCTTTAACTAATTATGGTGATCTTGAATCATATGACTTACGTGTCAACTGTTGTTTCTGTAGAGAGAGAAGGCCGAGGTGATCCAGACACTTCTCTTTGTTGCTGGTTTGAACACATTGCTCCAGACTTTGTTTGGAACTCGTTTGCCTGCTGTTATTGGAGGCTCATACACCTTTGTCCCAACTACAATTTCAATTATACTTTCTGGTCGATTTAGTGATGAAGTAGACCCTGTTGAGGTATTTCTTATCTATTTCTGTTATGTAAGGTTGTCTTGGTTTGGAATGTCAAGTGGCACCTGTCATGTTATGATATAGAAGAGCTAGTATTAGTTCCCAGGAAACCTTTTATTATACAGTATTTCAGTGGTTTGCGTGAGAAATATAGAGTGGGCAGGGTATATTATATACATTAACTTGTCCACTCCCACCACTCTACTCTTACTGATAAATGTTCCATTAGTAACTTTATGATAACTTTTGATGCCTATACAGAAATTTAAGAGGATTATGCGTGCAACACAAGGTGCTCTTATTGTTGCTTCAACCCTTCAGATTGTTCTAGGTTTCAGTGGCCTTTGGCGTAATGTCACCAGGTTGGTTCAGAACCAGAACCGATGCTTATATTTTGGCAGTGCTTGCACCCTGTGATCAATTGTATTTGATGCAAAGCAGATATAATTGTTGGTTAACATATAGAAGTCATCATCTATGTATTATGAGTCAACTGAATTTCTGAATCAAAGGAGTCTGGCTTATCCTTCAGCCTAGTTACATCTTTCTGCCATAATTAATTTTTGCTGGGGTAAAGTCTGCATGAAAGTTGACAAAGTTAGAAGGTTGGATTTTCTTTTTTTGCAGGTTCTTAAGTCCACTTTCAGCTGTTCCTTTGGTAGCTCTTGTTGGTTTTGGGCTGTATGAGCTTGGTTTTCCTGGGGTAAGCTCCCTTGTGCTACATATTCATGCACATGCATAATATGTATAAAGATCGTGTTACCAGTGGGTATTAAGTTTTACATTGAAATGTTTAGGTTGCCAAATGCGTGGAGATTGGCCTGCCAGAGCTTATCATATTAGTATTTATTTCACAGGTATTTAGGTTGATGTGTTATGGATGCATTCCTTGTTGCTATTTTGATAACGTTGTGTTCTTCATCTCTTGCCTTTCTGCTCATTATGACTTCATTACTAATAGTTTGTTGTTAGGATGAGATAATTAATTGTCATTGTTTGTTGTGCAGTACATGCCCCATGTGATAAAGTCGGGAAAACATGTCTTTGATCGTTTTGCTGTTATATTCGCTGTGGTGATTGTATGGATTTATGCTCATCTGCTCACTGTGGGTGGTGCTTATAATGATGCAGCGCCAAGGACACAAGTAACTTGTCGTACTGATCGTGCTGGACTTATAGATGCTGCTCCATGGTTAGTCAATGCATCTTAAAGCGGCTGCATGATTTAGCATTTACTTGTTGGCTTATCCTTTACATAGTGGATGTTTCTTTTCTTTTCTCTTTTTCTTTTTTGGATTACAAGGGAACTACTCAAAACCACCTAGGAAATCATCCACATCCTGCACCATTGGACCACCCGGTGGTGTTATGTAGCGGATCTTTACTTGTCATTCTTTCCTCTTTCTAGTTTAAACTTTAAAATGTCAATCCAATTGTCACGCTTTATGATTACCTGGCTCTCTCTCATCACAATGGTCTTAGCTGTTAATTGTAAATCCTTGTTGGTTTGTTAATTGAGGTATTCTGCTGCATAAAGAGTTAAACCTGTGAAGACAGTGGTTTTTACTGATTCATTAATCTAGTGGAACATCAAAGTGTGAATTTAACACCCTTTTCACTCATTTCCTCTATTAATGTGCTTGGTTACTATATCTACACATGGACAAGCTGATTTTGAAAGATGAGAGTTAGATGGCCCATCATTGGAGACTGCTTAGATCATTCATTTGAATTGGTTGTCATAATCCAATTGGGAAGAGCTTGTGATGCAATTATCTGATTCTGACTAGAATAAATATGACAGTTTTTCTCTTTAACTGTATTCGTTCTTTGCACATTTCATTGGACCAGACAACTAATTTGGGTTATAATTGGTAGTTGTGGAGTAAGTTTGATTAAAGTTTTAGTTTGCTTTATTGCAGTATAATGTACTCCTTTTTTGTTTGTTTTATCATGGCTTAGAATTATGGGATTGCATCAATTGTTCCTTATTGGAATAATGGGTTTTGCAGGATAAGAGTTCCATATCCCTTTCAATGGGGAGCACCTTCATTTGATGCTGGTGAAGCTTTTGCCATGATGATGGCTTCCTTTGTTGCCCTTGTAGAGGTTTGCATTCTTCCTTTCATATATTTACTTCTCCCTCATGCTTAACCTATGCTATTGCTTTAAACTAAAAGTGCATCATGCAATATCATCACAACTATTGGCATTTTTCTGGTATTATTTTTCCCTTCGTTGATAATCTATTTAAACTCAGTCATTTTCCATACCTATCCCATACTAGCAGTAATTTAGAATATTAAATCATGTGATTGCTGTGATGTGGATCAGCTGACAATTAGTAGTTTACAGGGATTATTATGCTGCTTTATGTGGGTAAAAGTTCTTTTTGAAAACTACAATTTCAACAGTGTTTTTCAATGGTTTTGTTCTTTTCTGGTTTTTCTTTTTGGGGGTGATGCAGTTCAAACATTTATTGTGGGCATTATATGGGTTACTTGATACAAATATTATCTTATTTAATCTTGGAAGTTAACCGAGTTACTTTCCATGAATAAGCAGTCCACTGGCGCCTTTATTGCAGTGTCAAGGTATGCAAGTGCAACTCCTATGCCACCTTCTGTTCTTAGCCGTGGTGTTGGCTGGCAGGTAATAAAAAGGAATTGGCTCCTTTGTAATTGAAACTGCAAATTTAAATTTCTTGGTTTTGAAAGGTTGTTTTTGTGTCTATGATATTGTGTGAATACTTGTCTTAATTTTCATGCTTTGCTGTGGCATGCACCAATAATTCCTTTTGTTACGGGCAAGACAAACCTTTTAAGTGATTGGGCCTTTTCATGTCCAAGATTTGGACGAGAAATGTTATTCCTAGCCACTGTAGTTGCAGTTGTGTACACATGCACTATTCTAAAGTTTTGTTGTGTGCAGGATTGAAAAAAATGGAGGCAAAATGTTAAGTTTTAAAGGTGTAACGAAGTGTTAGGTAGTGAGCTTCTATGATTGTTTGATAGGAGTCTTAAAAAATTGAGTGTCAGTAGGCCCAATAATAGTTAAATCAAAATTTAAAATATAAATTATTTTAAAAATCATGATGTATTGGGCGGCCCATGCAGAGTAAAAGGAAAAGAGGGAGTTAACGAGTGCTAGTTTTGAGAAAGACAAAATATATGAGCCAGCTTTACCGTTTGAAAAGCTTTGACCCCTCCCTCTTCAAGATTAACAGCTAAAACCCTAAACGGGTTAATTGTTAACCCACTTAACAATTCTCCCTATTCTACCAAACCCAAGAAAAGGAAGCGAAAGTCCCTAAAGTAACTTTAACCTCCTTTACCTTCCTACCAAATCTATCCTATATAAGAACAAGAAAAGGATGTTTACATATGGAACTTATAGCTGTATGTTCTGGTGGTTACTATGTATTCAAAGTATAAAGAACAATGATAATTCAGATGGATATTGAGTTTCTTGCATTGTTATATTAACATTTTATTTCTGCTTTAGGGAGTTGCCATCTTGCTTTCTGGGCTGTTTGGAACTGCAAATGGATCTTCAGTATCTGTGTAAGAGTCACTAGAAATGCCTTTCCAGTGCATAAGCTTTTATTCATTTAGATGCAGTAACTTCAAAATTGACTTGAGCTATACTGTGTACAGAGAGAATGCTGGTCTCTTGGCCTTAACAAGAGTTGGCAGCCGAAGGGTTGTCCAGATATCTGCAGGATTCATGATTTTCTTTTCTGTTCTTGGTAAGTCAATATATGGGTTTGCTCAATGCTTTCGTATTGATGTATGATTCATCTTTGTTGCTGTTGGTTTACTGTTCTTAACTCTATTGGTTAACTTTGCATTATTGTGCAGGAAAATTTGGGGCAGTCTTTGCTTCAATTCCAGCACCCATTATTGCCGCTTTATATTGCCTTTTCTTTGCCTACGTGGGTATGTGTATCCTGATATTTTGGTTCATAAGCAGATGCGAGTCTCTGATGTAGTCATTGGTTTTGTTTAATGATTTGTCCTTTTCGCAATGGATGTCTAGGTGCTGCTGGTCTTAGCTTTCTTCAGTTCTGTAATCTCAACAGCTTCCGAACAAAGTTCATATTAGGCTTCTCTATTTTCATGGGTTTATCCGTGCCACAGTACTTCAATGAGTACACTGCAATCAAGGGCTATGGTCCAGTTAACACTGGTGGAAGATGGGTATGCATGAGATTTTTCAACCCCTGATCTGTCTTGCTTTTGTAACTACTCTGCCAGTGGCTGATAAACATCTTGCTTTTTTGTTTATTTCTTCTTAATTGGCAGTTCAACGATATTATAAACGTTCCTTTCTCGTCAGAAGCATTTGTTGCGGGCTGCTTGGCTTATTTCCTGGACAACACCCTGCATAAAAAAGACAGTTCAATCAGGAAAGACAGGGGTAAGCACTGGTGGGACAAATTCCGATCATTCAAGGGTGATTCAAGGAGTGAAGAATTCTACTCCCTGCCTTTTAATCTAAACAAATATTTTCCATCTGTGTAATTTAATCAGTATTAGTTATGATCTGTTTTTAATCAAAGATGGGTTCTTGATAGCTCTTTGTGGGATAAAAAATTGCAATGCTGTTATTGCTCCCTCGTTGTGAATCTTATCACACGCTATATAGCCGTGTAAGATAGTCTCTTCCTCCATAGAATGACTTGAAAGCATTCAATTGAATTTGTTTTCCTTGTAAAAATCCAACGGTTGACGTGGACTTGGAAGTAGCAATGAAGCAGTTTTATTGCCTTTAGTTCCCCGTTCTTTCCGTTCTGTAATTGGTTTCTATAGGCACTAGTGCCCTGATTGCATGTTCCTTCCTAACTGGCACATTGCCATGGAAATGAGCTGCTTCCAAGAGTTTCACATATTTCAGCAGATGACTGATTGCTGATTTCATGTGGTTGGGTTTACTGGATTGAATCTCAGAGACGACTTGGACGATCCAGTTAGTTCTATGGTTCTGAAGGGACTATACAAGAAGAGGGAGCCAGGAATTTCCGAGGTCAACTACAAAAGACTTGGCAGCTAGCCGAAATAATTAATTTTGCATTAAAATTTTCAGGAGGGTAAATCACTATTTATTCGTGCTCTTAAAAGTGCAATACTTGAAAGAGTGATTACCATGACAAGTCGGTGCAAATTACAGTACTGGCAGTTCGTAATTTCTATCCAATACGTTCTCCAAAATGCTGACTACTCAAATCCTATCCCGTGCCTATGTTTTGCTGCTAGTTCGTTCATAACATCTCTTATCAAAGGAGAGGGAGGTCAAGTAGCTTTGACAGAAGTTGGAACCTTTCACATTTATTTGATGACAACTTAGCCCAAGCACGATTTGAATCACACAAGTTTGAACATGTAGGTGTCAGAGAATAAAATAAATTTTATTTTAAAATTTTATTTAATAATTTAAATTTTGAAGTGAGATGATTTTTTATATAATATTAATTTGGAGTTTGAATCGCAACATTTTTAATAAGAGTTCGTATAAGTTTTAACTTTAAATAACTTTCTTTTAAAAAATGATATAAATTATATTTAAGACTTTAGTTAAAAATTTAAAATTTTGGAGGAGATGATATTTTGACAACAGGGCAACTTACTCTGCTTGCCCTTTAAAACCTATTGGACCCATGATAAAGACAGAAGTAGGACGGCGTTGCAAAGACACTCCGTGTTCTGAATTTTTGAAGAAAGTATAGCCGCGTACAGGGGAGGCGAATCTAACGAAAAGAAATTTGGACGGACTATGATATTGCTGCATAAGCAGTCACATATATGAAATAGAGATGAAAAAAAAAAATGATATTTTTTCTTAGGTGTTTATTTATTGATTCTGGTAAGGAGCACCAAGTTTGTTGTGGTATATTATTATATAATTAGATCTTCCAAGATGCTGCAAAAAGTAGGGAGAGAAAAAGGTTAAGGTAAAGAAGCAAAGTTGCATTAAAGCTTGTGCTAATTCTTTGAAAAAGCAGATGCTTTATTTGGTAGTAAAGGCCACAGCAAGTAGACGATGATTACAAGATCTTACTATCACTTTACAGTTAAACAACACCCTCAGACAATTCTTGGAAACATCAATCTCAATCACATTCACCCCACTTGTTTTATGGAACTTGTATGCAAAAACCCTTGTCTAAGAAGATCTTAGCAAGAAGATTATTGTCGTCCAAGGCATAAACATATAATTGTAGCTCAAGTTGGAACTTATTTAACTGATAGAACATTCTCTCTTGTTTTTAATTTTTTTCCCATTTTCTTATTTACCTAGACAAAAAAATACAAATGACAACTAACCTTACTTCTTGGTTTTGTGTCATGTATCATACATAGGTTGAGTGCTTGAAAGAAACAAAAATCATCCACTAACAAGAAACCTAAAAACACTCTGTATGTTGTTTTGGTGGGGGCGAGTCAAATGTGGCCTAATTTGAATGCATCATAAATGCCATGGTATTGACAATAGGAACATATCCCATTTTCTCTACCCATTTCGATTCTTGAAAAGGAGGAGGAGTTCAATGCTGCCCACAGAATCAAAGCGTAAAAATATGGGTATACAGAAAAAGCAGGAGTTTTCATATTATACGTGAGGCTGTACAGATTCTATAAAAAACAAACAAAAAAAAGAAGTATAAGATATTTGATACTCCAATATTTAATACTTGTATTTGTATACCCTCTGTGTCTAGACACGTTTTGAGCTCGATAGAATTTATTTGATTTTATTATTTTTATTTATAATGAAATAGCTAGAATCATAAGAAGCATAATACCTAATTTTTCACATGGCTACTTACATTTTCATATAAAAAATTGATTTATATACAAAAAAAAGTTTATATTCTAATGATAGTAATCTATTATAATAATAGATAAAATTTTAAATCTAAATAAATTAATTATGTTAAGAGTTTTGAGCGTGTGAATTAAAAAAAAAATTGATTCATATATAGAATTCGGTCAATCATATAAGGTTTTTGTATCAGTAGACATTGGTAAAATATTTCTAGCATGCATAACCCGAAAACTAAGCGCATGTAAACTTTTGTTAATAAAGCATGTGTCCCCCTCACATGAAAATGCGATCCAGCACAAATTTTTGTTTTCTTTTCCTCAAATCCATGTTTAAGGATTACTTTGTGCACTCTGACTTGTAAGAAGGTAGGCAAATGAATATATTATGAGATTGAAAGATATCCGGAGAGAAAGAAGCATAAACAAGAGCCAATAGGGATTCGCTATGCTTCTCCTTCCATATATATACTACTTAATGAACTCGACTTCCTTGGCCTTCGTATCTAACTGTTATGTAACTATATCAATTAAAAATTTTAAATTTTTATATAAAATTTTAAAAATAATTTTATATTACTCGATAACATATTCTTTTTAATCAAATTTTTTTTTGGTTTAAACTTATACAGATTCATCATTATTTTATACTTAACCATTTGGTCATCAAAATTTTGATATAATATTCAAGAATTATCTAATCTAAAAACTTATTACTTAAAGTAATACTTTAACAATTATTTTATATTATTTCTAAGGATAACTTTTTTTTTTTTTTTAAAGTTAAATTTGCTTTGCCTAGATCTCGTGCTCCATACACAATTACTACTAATTTAATTTACAGTTATAATTATATTAATTAATAAAATTCTGCGGCGTGACCAAAGCTAGCGTCTGAAGACATGAATTAAGCATAATTTAACATGTAGGGACTGTAAAAAATATATTTAATTTCCGTTGACTTTGAAAGTATCTATTATTCTTGAATTAAAAAAAAAAAACACATGACCGTTAAAAGTATTTTTCATTATATATATAAAGAAGAAGAAGAAGATGATGATCAGTCCCGTCTCCGTCTTTCTTGTCCAAAGACATGAAAAACTTTTTGAAGTTTTTCTCTGTTTTTCCTACGGAACTAATTTCTTAAAGGCATGGCATCATATTGGTCGTCGAAGCATCTAATTAAAATTGTAAATGACATTGTGTATTGGCCTAGGATAGAAAATGTTACTATGCAACTTCAAATGCATTTTTTTTAAAAATGTAAAACTACTTAGGTACATCCATCGACAATGTGACAGCCATTAATAGGAAAAAAACAAAAAAGGAATATTGGAGATGATAAGATCTTTGTCTGCCAATTAATGTGTTAATAATTAATTAGTTGAAAATCCCGCATAAAATATTGTTAGCAAGTTTTTGGACGTTTTGTATCTCACCAACTCCAATAATTAACATTTGAAGAAAAGAAAAGAAAAGGATGTGTAACAAACAAATTATAGCAAGAATTATGAAAAGGTCAAAAAAAAAAAAAAAAAAAAGTGAAAAGAGGTAAGTGGTAGTAAGCAAAAACCAGATTTATTTGTCTGACTAATCCTTGTGACACATAATTATATGTTGTGCTTAATATAATTACTAAAATCTTGGTGTAATGAGATCGGAAAAGGAATGACCATATCAGATTTTTTTTTTCAGGACAGAAAATCTGATCACACAGGCTAGTGAGCTCCCACCACTTGATTAGTATGGTCAGTTAATTGTTTTTGTTCCCAATTTCAGGAACCAAGCGTGGAACCTCATCATACACCCCTCAAAAAATTACAATGATATTGTTGAAGTAAATGGAAGAAATGGGGAATTATTTATCATTGCGTATGGATAGAAGTACAGTGGGTTTACATTCTTGGATGTCAAATCATGCACTACTCAATTCCAAATCCAATGATAGTTTGCATGCAGCACCATAAAAACATAAGATAACATTACGGTTAGAGTTTGACTCACACTATGAACTCTAAAGCAAGATGTTGGTCACTATCAATGGGTTATCATATATGTCTGGCAAAGCCATGGGTAAAAGAGTGAATAATATATTTGTGCTTGTCCTTTACTGTTAAGAGCTGTTGTATTTATAACTGAACAAAATTGCTACTACCTCCTTACTACCTTATGAGATAAGTGTTATCCCTTAACATTCCTTCTCAAGCTATACATAGGCGAGGGACAATGTGCAGCTTGTCTCTCAAAGTTTCAAACTGCCGAACTAATAAACCTTTTGTTAGGAGATCTGTTGTTTGTAATTCTGTTAGAACAAAGCGAACATGGACTGCATCACTAGCCACTCGTTCACGCATAAAATAAAAATCAATCTTCAAGCGTTTAGTGTGACTATGATAGAGTTGGCTGTCAAATAAATGGTACTTACATTATCACACAAAAGCACAAGAGGTTTGGGCAAAGGCACACCTAGTTCACAAAGAATATTGCACAACCAAGTTAACTCTGCTACACTACTTGCCATTGTGCGATACTTAACTTCAGTGCTAGAACGAGATATTGTATGTTGTTTCTTAGACATCCAAAAAACCAAGATGCCAGAATAGAAGAAAGCAGTGCCAGCCGTTGACCTCCTAGTAGCAGGGCATCCTGCCCAATCAGAGTAAAAAATGACCACCAGGTCCGCAAGCTTCGTAGTTTTTATGGAGAGACCATAATCTAATATTTTTGCAATATACCGAAGAACACGTTTAGCTGCCTGAAGATGTGTAATGCTGGTTTATGCATGGACTGACAGATTATTGAAAACACAGGCAATGCTAGAGCATATGAGTATAAGATATTGCAAAGCCCCAACAAGGCTTTTGAACTTAGTAGCATCAGCCAAAGGTGTCCCTGCAAAAACTAATAATCTTGCACCAAAAGCAAGAGTGGATACAGGTTTACAATTCAACATATTGGATTTTGATTAAAGATCATGAGCATATTATGTATGAGATGAAAACATTGCATTTGGTGTCCTGATAACCTATATGCCAAGAAAGTAATGAAGTGGGTCGAGATTAGTCATGGAAATTATCTTAAAACGAAATTAGTTTCCTAATTTATGTTTAAGGATAATTTGAAAAATTATTTCTTAAAGTGGCCTTCTTAAAAATATTTGACCTTATTTATTTAGATGATCCAAATTGATTGATAATTAATTGGGTTAATAGACTTAATTTAAAAGTCTCGTAAGATACTTTGATGGAATGATGGAAGGATAAACTTGAGTCTTATTTGATAAAGCTCGGAGTTTACAAAGATACAGATTAGACATAATCAATATAGGCAACATCTCCTTGATCTACAAGGACAAGTTGCCACCCTTTATATATAAGAAGGATGAAAGAAGCGACAACAATTGCAACCAAAAAAAAAAAGAAAAAAAAGAAAAAGAAAAACATGGCATAAGTAAAATTAAAGAGAAAAAAATATTTTCTCTTAAAGCAATAGTTGTCGCATTTCTTTTTAAAAAGCCAAAAGTTGACGCAAATTACCCTATATGATTTTTAGGAAAAAATTAACTACACGAAGTATTGGAGTTAGCACTCTAGGATCTTTATTGCTTGTTTTGTGGGTGTTTAAGTCGTGCGGATAATCAATAAAGGACGGATGCTTGGATAGTTCCCTTTTCGCTAGAATTGTTTCGTGCTACAAGAGATAATCTTTTACCCATATTTATATTCATGTTTATTATGTAAGATTATTGATTCAACGACATGATCTTGAGAATCCTAGATGAAGAAATTCTTTTTGTTTATTTTGTATCTTCATAGGATGCATGATCATTCGATCATGATTTGAAGTTATCCGTAGCTTTTCACTTGTGTGAGCAAAATCATCGGTGGCTTTTCACTCATATAAATATAGGCTTTCAATCTTTTGAGATTCATCTATTTGTTGATATAGGTTTACAATCATTAGGGATTAGTCAAAATTTCAATCTATATCTACATTTCTTGTTTTGAGTATGAGTATAGAACTTTGACAGGTACAAATCCCGAATTACTTTACCATTTCACCCCAATAAAGCAAAATCACTCTAACCGATATAGAAACATAACGGAGTAAGATCATACTTTTATTTTCATATGCAAACAATACAAACTACCTCGGGTAGGACGAGATAGCAATGATGATAAATCTTCTACATATGTAACCGACCTCTTATACAAATATTTATGCAGACTAGTCTTATTTTAGTATTTTTTAGTTCTCTTTGATAGATAAGTAGTGTTTTCTATTTGCTTGCGAGCCTATGTCGGTAAGTATAATAATAATAAAAAGATCATAGAGTGAGAATAACCAAAAAAAAAAAAGAAGATTGAATAAGATCACTCTATAATAAAAGTATGATAATTGAAAAGTTCAATGTTCTAAATTATTTATTTATTTAAACATATATCCTTACGCTAATTCCTTGGAGAATTCAAAATCTAATATGTCAATCAATCCCCTAAGATGTGAGATTATTATTTTTTTTCTTTTTTGGGCTTACAAGATGAGTTCACGCAAAGATTCCTTTTCTGCTTGGCTTTCTTTTTTCAGTATAATAAATTTATTTATTTATTATTTTTTTTATTTTTTAGATGATAACCAACAAAAAGCCCTTACAAATCCATAGGATACCAAAAAGAAAACGTAGACAAAATAGAAAGTTTCTTTCTTTGCTACCTTAGAAAGAAGCAAGAAGCTAATTGCTTTTTAGCAAAGATGAGGATCTCCTGTCAATCTTTCACCCTTTCACACCTTTTTTGGGCTTAAAAAACAAGTGGGATGAGATGATGATGAGAGTGGACGGAGGTAGGCACAGGCGACACGCACTCATTACGTGTTGAGTGGTGGAGGGGAAATAAACGGACTCTCTATGTGGCAAAAGGGACCCACAGACTGCACACGAGTGAATGTGAAGCTCCTTCTTCACAAACTTCCACGCGTATTGCATTGCACTTGCTCTTTGCTCTTGGCATCTGGGCCAACGTCAATGTGCATCTCTCCTTTCCTCCATTGCTTTTTGCCAAGGCGGGGACGCCTCAGTTATTCCTCTACCACTCTCTTAAAATGGATGTGTTTAAAACCAGACTGATATCCACTCTATTAACTAAATTCAGGTTATAATTTAGGGATCTTGCACATTTCTTGAATACCTTATATGACCCATCAAATAAGGGATAGTTTTTTTTGGAGGGGCAACTTTGTGCTAGACACAATAGCAAGTAAAGGATAAAAAAAATTTTAATCCCCTTTGATTTTTCTTATACGGAAGGTTACGAAAAGACTCGTTTTAAAGTTTCCTTGGGTTGTGAGTGTGCCGTGCAATTCACATGGCAACGAAAGGTGTGATCGGCGACAAAATACAAGTCTACTTATGCATTTTAACGGTTGAAGAACAGCTTCTGTAATCTTTAATTTATTGGTTGAAAACATGTTACATAATGAAGTGACGTTTGTTACGACAATGCATATGAAGGTGACACCTGGTTTGTTGAAAAGTATGACAAAACGGATCTTCATGGTACGGCAAATCTGCAACCTCTCTCAAATATCTCAACTTAGTCATAACTTCACCCTCAACTACACTAATGAGCACAGTAATAAAAAAAGAAGAAAAAGGTCGAAGTGGGTTAGTGACCTTTTTCGGTTTTTACTAGTATTTGGATTTTTCCCCTTTCTCTTGTTTGTTTCAAGAATCCATGGAACCATGTGTTCCTGAACAGTAGTGGTCTGGATGGGGCACCAAAGTACGTAATGTATTTGTCTTTGGGGATTGAAAATCACCTCCGGGCCAACTTCCCTTTGTCCCTTCGTCACTCAACCAATTCTGCCTCACCACGTCATTCCATGTGAGGACAGTCTATCAAATTAAGAATGGTCAAACTACAAAACACCCCCTGAAGTTTGGAGGCTCTATCAACTTCTCCCTAAACTTAATTTTTAACTCCCTGTAAGCTTTCAATTTCTTATTCAAACTACCACTTTACATTTTCCATTAACTTTCTTCGTACTTTTTTTTTTTTTTTTTCTATATGGTGTAATAAACTAAATGTTTTGATAGTTTTAAGATGATGTTTTAATTTTATATAACTTTCTTTAGTGTTAGTGAAATTGTTCAATTATCTCCATAAACCATCACGTATCCTAACTGAAAGAGATGAGTAGTGTAAAATGAAAGTAAAGCAAAACCTCAAGGGGGTATTTTAAAAACAAATTGTTGTTCAGCTAGTAATTGACATAACCTTAAAACTACCAGGGGATTTCGTACTCTAGACCTCTAATGCTTTACAAAATCACTGTTATTAAGACTATCGACTGTACTTAGGTTTTATTTGTTTGGAAGAAAACATTTTCTAGGAGGAAAATCAATTTTGTGGAAGTTATTTTCTTGAAAGCTGTTTTCCAAAAAAATATTTTATGGTATTTGACAATTATATGAAAAAATTATTGAAAAATATTTTTTAGTGTTTATTTGATACGAGAAAATTGAAATATAAAAATAGATTGTGATTGTTATATCAACGAGTTTTGAAAAAATTTTAATAAGACATATTAATAATCTTATAATACAAAAATTATTAAAAGATCTCACATTCATAATATATATATATATATACACTTGAAATTTTTTAACATGTTCCTATCGGTATATTTTAGTAGAATAATGTTTTTTTAACATGAGAAAAGAAATAAAGTTAATCTTGTTGAACTTTTTGTATTAAAATTAATAAAATTAAACTAATAAATAATAATGTGATATTTTATAATTGAAATACCACTACTCATAATTTTTTTTTTGATAAGATGAATTTTAATATAATTATAAAGGATAAAAATTTGATTTGAAATTTTTTAATATGACGAGTTGAAACATAAAAAATATAATATAATTATTTATATAAAAAAGGTCATATAATAACATTATAATGAAAAACTTGGTTGAATAAATAAAATAAATAACTCTTTTCATTCTATCAATTTGATCCATAATTATACAACTCATAATCCAAAAGTCGAATCCCATCCATGCATCACAACAACTTATACACCAAAAAGTATCCTTAATTAAAATATCTCACATCCATAATAATAACTACAAAGATAATTGCAAAGATACAATATCCAAAAAATAAAAAAACTATCTATAAAATTTATACTCTTACAAATCCAAATACATAATAGGAAAGCCATACATAACATCATGTAGATGATCCACTATGTTCATTGATGAATTTTTCAATCCAAAGCTTCCTATGTTTTTCATTTCTCGCAATAAAAGCTTTTGCCAACCTTTCATTCTACACCAAGTAATCAAACATATTATTCAATATGCCATCATCAAAATCAGTAATCTTCATCATCACATCATAAAGCTCATCTATATTAACCGCATTTTTGGTTAAAACATGAATTGCTTTGGCCACTTTTCTCACTTCCATAGCTAAAACAGATGTAATTGATTCTTCGGATTAACGACCTCTTTTTCAATGGCTTCTCTTTCTAGAAAGCATACTAGTTGACGATGCTTCTTTTTCTTTGCCTATGTCACCTTCATCCGGCATTGTAGATTCCATTTCAAAGCTTTTAGCCAAGTTGATATCATTAAAAGACTTGGCAAAACTTCTTGTGGCCATATCTTGTCCAACAACAAGTGCCATCTGATTGTACATCTCAATTTTCTTGTTCAATTATTTCTCATGGTTAGGATGTGCCTATATATTAAAAGAAATTAGAAAACATTTTATAAATATATAAAAAACAAGTTGAGACATTGAAAAAAAAATTTATATTACCGTTATCTCTTCATCATAAACTTGTTTTGAGACAATTATCATTTTCAACTCATCATTCCATCCAAAACCAATTTTCTCTTGCGGTTGTGTGATGATCTTCCATTCTTTTTTTATTGTCTTCAAAAGATTTTTAGCATGATCATGAGAAAAATCTAATCCAAATTTTAGGTTAATTTCTCTTGCTACACGTGCAAAGTCTGTCTTGTTTGAAAATAGAAGAATGATTATTCCCTTTCATAGCTTTACGAGATAAAATCTCAAGCAACATATGAGACATAAGTTTTGTCCACCTAAATTGTTCGGCTTTAGGTTTTTCTTGCTTTGTTTTACTCATTTCTACAAGCATTGACAATAAACAGAATTTCAAAGAATAGAAACAAGTGAAATGATCCAATAACATCATCACTCATTCAATAAGCTCCCAAAAAAAAAAAAAAAAAAAATTGCTAAAAAGAAACTAGGGTGGCATTAGTTTTTATTTCAGAACTTGGCTAACTAAGGCACAAAGGATTATAAGCTTTAATCAATGGCAAAGTAATCACAACAAAAACAAAACTCAAAATGGGTTTCATCATGTATATTAATTTTCACTTGTATTGACTAAATAAAGAAATAATGCATGTCGGTACAACAAATTTAGTGCTCAAATCTCTCTAAAATACTATTATTTTAATAGTCTTAATCAAGTCTAACTATTAGTACTCTTTTCTAAAATAATATTTTTGTCTCTCATTAACTTACCTAGGAGCTTAAACCCATCATTAACATTATATACATGCATGACAAAGAAAAGGATAATAAAATGGATAGGATATATAAAAATTAAGATGCATAATGTCTCAATGTAATTTCTAAAATGAATTTTGTTCAATATGAAAAAAAATAAAAAAATTCAGTACATAAAGAATTACGACAATCTTACATGTCCATTTTCTAGAACTAATTATTCAGTGCTTGTCTTGGTTACTTAGTTGTACAGCACCAAACTCTTTCTCTATTTTCCACATCCAGCTAAAAAACATAGGAAAAGAGAAGTACAGTACTACCTAGCTAGCTCTTTGGTTGAAAAATAGTTATAATGTTGACATACATTTACTTATTATAATAATAATTGGTCTCGTGTTAATTAATCCTTGGGTCAACCACATTGTGGCCTCATTCTTGGTTATACATGGATCACACAAGCTAATGCATGTCCTAAAAATCAAATGCTATATTCTCAAGCAAATAAACATCATGGACACACATGAATTAATTTATTATTTTGCATCACATGAATTTTATTTGAGATTGGATGTTCATCTCAGATAAGAAGTTTCATTTTAATTTGCTATAGATTATTCTGTTTTAGATGAGAATTAAATTATGTCATTTATTTGATCTGAAATCTGAATGTGCCTAGCTTTTTCGAGCAACAAGTCAACAACCTTGTTTCCTATATCAACAATAAATTGTCTAATGTAAGAAGTGTGCCTTCGACATTGTTCAGGTTGAATATAAGTAAAGGAGCATGAGAGGTGTGGAACATTACTGGTCCTTGGAAAATGAACAGAAATCTAGTGTTAACGGAATATCTACAGCAATTGCCAGTAGAAACGAACTTTGTGATGGCTATATTCTCAAAATCAAATGCTATATTCTCAAGCAAATAAACTTTGTGATGCAAGTAGGAAGTAAGAAAGACCAGATACATTAAATTGCTGAAGTTGATGGCTACTGACATGGTGAAGTCAAAAAGATAAAATTGATATTTAGACCAACTTACAAGTCATTTATTTATTTATTTATTATTTACAACTTGTAAGTCAAGTTTATCTAAACTAATGATAGTCAAGCATTCCTATTATTGGTAGGTTAAACAATCAAGGTTCGGCAAGCCATGACTAGCATGTCTAAACACACAGACAAGCTAAGGTTCTTTCCTCTCCATTTGGTGCTAACAGACTTAACCTTGGCCGATTCCCTCTCCACTTCCACTCCATCTCAGGCTTGGCGGTCACTCAGATCACCAACAAATCCATCATTTTTCACTTTCTTTCAATCTTCACCTCTGATCCATCATTAACATCATACAACCAAACTCTAAAAACATCATCCAAACTTTCCAATCACTGATAACAGACCCTTAATCCTTTAGTAGTATATCTTGGTTAACCACACAATTTGATTGGGCATTAACTTTAAAAAAGGCAAGTAGCCTAACTTCGAATTACAATTCCAAACTTATGCCAGTAATGCGTGTAATGAAGAAAAATACCAAAAGAACTAAAGCTAGTCCTACTGTTATATCAGAAAGCATTACGTCCCATTCCAGCTCAAAATGGGAAAGCACTCTCATGCAAAATATACAGAACCTAGTTCCAGTGCCAAACAACAAAGATCCTCTTTCTTGATTATGTTAAGCTTAGGAACAGATTTCCTAGTAGCTACCATGACTCCAAATCCTTTTTTCGTAGTTCTTCCCATATCATTTATAATAAATCTTATCATGTCTTTACATTCATCTTCATATTCTCATCTCAACTCTGCCTCTATCATAAATATATTGATTGTTAACACCTAGTAGTCACTTTCTTATAGCATATTAGCATAGCTGACTTAATCAGGGTTTCACAAATTCATAATTGAAATTAATAAAAGGTACAAAATAATGTAGAACTCTATTTGTATTTCTCCATTTTAATCATCATATTCTGATTCTATTACTACTATCTTCCTTAATGGCACTTTCTTTTTTACAATAGAGCCTAGGTATCGAAAATTATCATCATGAGCACCTCTCCACAATAGAATCCAACAGCACGCCCTTCTTGATTTCTCAAGTTGCTAACATTAATGTGATATCCAAAAGAGCATTGACCCTTGAATACAAAACAAACCTAGGTGGTTAGACCCTCTAGGATATATTAATTTTTGTTTAGTATATATTAATTTCAATGTTTCCATGTGTATATATATATAGGAAAAATAAACCAATAGCAACAAATCTGACTTCCAGATCCCATTCACAATAGCAACAGTTTATAAAAAAAAATAACAAAAGAGAAAGACACACAAACAAACATATCAATAAATATTACACAAGAAATTAAATCTAAAAGAGGAAGACACACAAAAACCTTATAAATAGACAATATAACAAGAAATCATAGTAGATCTAATCGTCTTTTGCAGGCTTTGTTTGTTTGACGGTGACGTTAGCTTTGTTGCGGTGGCATTGGGTGGCAAAGATGTCCTTGGGTTGGCTTCAGGCAGTAATGGAATGGGTGAGTTTGGATTAGAAGGGAATGGATAGCAACGAGCTCCAAAGAGAAAATGTTTTTTCATTTTTTATCTGGGAAGTCGTTTTCCTTAAACTTGGCTTTTAATTTTCCTTGATTGAAAAATAAGCTTCTTTGACTTTTTTCAAAGATGGCCAAACAAACACGGCAAAACAAGGAAAATAAATTCCAGAAACTTGTTTTACTTGAAACAAACGCAGCCTTAATTACCTTGACGGAACGCATCGTGACTAGCTGTATCCCCCTAGAACCATCTTGGACCATAGAATAGGAAAAAGCCAAGGCCTAGATAGATAAAACACAACTTCAAAACTGGTGGGTGGGTGCTATAAAGCCAACTAGTTGAAACTTCAACTCTCCTCTTTGTCTCTTCATCTATCTTCCTTTTCTTCTTCAAGACTCGTTCTTTGAGAGATAGATGGGGAATTGTCAAGCCATAGATGCAGCAACTCTAGTGATTCAACACCCAAATGGAAAAGTAGAAAACTTGTATTGGCCTGTGAGTGCTAGTGAGATTATGAAGATGAACCCCGGTCACTACGTTGCTCTTCTTCTCTCTACCACCATGTATCCAACCAATAACAGTGAGGAATGCCCCAGCAACATCACCACTAACAATAATTCTCTGAGGGTAACACGGATTAAGCTTCTCAGGCCTACTGATACTCTTGTTCTTGGCCAAATTTATAGACTCATCACTACTCAAGGTTTGTCACATATATTAGTCAATACTTCTTAATTTCCTTTTGTTTTTTTTTGAAAGAAAGACTCTTTATTTTGTAGTTTTTGAATTTAGCCTCATTTTCTTTTTGGGGTTTTGTTTTTTCAGAGGTTATGAAAGGGTTGTGGGCAAAGAAACAATCGAAGCTGAAGAAAAACGAGCTAGAATCAGAAGAGAAATCTGGCAGTGTGAAAGAGAAGCAGGGATCAGGGCTGGATACAAGAGCTAGAAGATCTGAACAAGAGAAGGAAAATCAGGTGAATACTACTACGTATTTCTTCAGATTAACACGATTAGTTGAAACCTGAACCAATTTTTTCTAAGAATGTCCACACTCATCCTTCTTGATTAAGGACTACCTTCTGGTTTTGCTTGATGTTGTCATCAGTCTCTTAATTGTTTGGAATGCACGAAAACTAATTTTCCAATGCATTTTAGGTGACCATTAAAAATGAAAGAAACAGACCAAGGACAACAACATCAGCAAACTCTGCTGCTATAGCCAGATCAAGAGCATGGCAACCCTCACTGCGAAGCATTTCAGAGGCCGGCGGTGGCAGCTAATCATGTCTCATCATATCTTCCTTCCATGCTGCATAGGATACATGAGGATCAAACACATGGGCTCAACAGCAAAAACCAGGCTTGCTTTAACCTGCAAAATCTAATACAGATAGTCCATGGAGGTCTGCAGGTAGCTACTGGGACAAATTAGAGTAAATCTTTCAAGTGCAGATTTGGGTAATGCGGGCATATTTTGTATAGCAAAACGTGGTATCTCAAACATTGGTTGTAAGTTAAGGAACTGCTCTTTTGAAACGAAATTAAACTTTTTCTCAAAAATTTAATAGTACAAATAATTTTGGTGGGTTTATTGCTGGGTTCGTAGTGTTAATTAATTAATGAATCAATCAAATATCCAACCCAAAAGACAGGAGATTATTTTGAAGTAGAGAGTCAAATAAATCATTAGATTTAATGGTTCATAATTCAGATTGCTAATGGTGGGCTTATATATATAAATATATCCTCTTTCTCCGAGGGATCCTTGTAAGCCAACTCAGGAACATGCGAATCACACCATACATGGGATGAATCTCAGACCGAAGTTAAAATTGCGAAATTGTTTATGTTTCAAGCTTAAAACATATGGTAACCATCCTGTGTGTAGTTCACATAACTTGAGTATGTCCTTGACCATTAGGATTGGGTCATCCAGCAAGATTCAGGCATATTTGTTATGCCATTAACACTAATTTTCATTAATGTTAACCACTAATGCTTCTGGGATTCTTCAAAATTCTCTGATTTTTCTTAAAAATAATTTTTTCATGGATTTGATCGAGGGGCTTGATGCACGTGTGCAATAAATAATCCGCGTACTTAATTTTGAAAAAAGGAGGAGGAAAAAAGAAATTTGAAATAACAAAACGTAAGCCGGATCTGAATTTGAATCAGCTGAAACAAGACCAAGCATTTTTGTGCATGATCTTTCGAAATCAAAGATATGTGATAGATGCAGACAAGATAAATATTCCAGCATTTCGCCAGCTATTTAACATGCAACAACAAAGAGTATGGAAAGAAGATTAAAAAACGACGATATTTAATGCCCCAGGTGGTGCATTAAAGCCAATGACAAATGGGCTACTGTAGAATCTATGGAGTTTGGAAATTTTAATTATCCAGGGTCCAAACAACTTCTTTTTTTTTTTTTTTAAAGGTTTGAGGATGGACCGACAGCAATAACCAACTGATTAGCATGGGAATTATTTGAGAGATATGAGATTACAACGTCCCTCAGCGGCTTCACCGACTACTTTAATTACTTAGAAATAACAATATCACCTATTTTCACCTTATTAATAATAGGTTATGGCAATTTCAATGTGGTCCAAACAAAAACAGCTCTTCTAACAGGACATGGCGATGACGAGTTCAAAAAGAAAGCTAAAGAGCGTGAAAGGTACAAGAGAGACAAAATTTCAAAAATGGGATGGATACATTGGTGGACTAATGTTCAGTAGTTTAGTCTTTCACATTAATATGGCGTCCGAGCTTGTCTGGCATGGTCCTGGAATGCTATGTTGTTAAATCCGATCTAGGTAGTGATTTGTTGGTCAAATTGATTATTAGTTCACTTAAGACTTAGCCAAATTTGAATTTGGATGACATAACTAAGATCCCATAAATCGAAAACATGTTCTCAAAACACAACAAAAACACTCAATTATTTTTATACAATTATATATATAAGAAGGAGGGATGACACTAGTTTGGGGGATTTGTTGATATGTTATTAAAAGTTTCTGGTTGTTTTATCATTTGGAAAAGGCACGACTAGTTTGACCGTCTTATCTTATTTGCTTGGAGAAAATAATGCAGAAAGTTCCTGGTATAAACTATTAAAGATACATGATAATATGTAGGAAACAGTAATATCTTACCAGACATCTAAAGAGCAGAGCAGAGTTGAACATTCTGCAATGGGACATATCTATCCATAATAAAACTAGTTGTGATCATGATTAGGCCTGTATATTTTTTACTTTGAAACACACATTTGTTAAGTTCCGGTGCATTAAAGGAAGTGGGATTTTTATTGATTCCCATTGCATCATTTGTTCCATTTCTCTTTTTCATGTTGAAGAAGGAAGACAGACCAATGCTAGCAAAGCGAAAGATAGGCGTTTTCTTTCCTTTAATAACCTAAAATAATGTAGGACAACTGCAACCAACTCAGGCTTAGAACATTCTCTAAGCATGGAAACTAGGTGATTATTGGTGGTCCAAGTTGATGAAAGTGCATAGAATTCCCTAACGCGTGGGCCATGATCAACTGTTTCCCACTGTTTACCAAATTTATAGCACTATATACGTATATAAGTTTTGTCTCTAGTTTGAACAATCATTGAAATATACAATCGAATTAATGAGTTGTGGAATGTAGGCCATGCCCTATCGCCTGGTTGAAGCTGCTATGTCATAACATCTTTTCACAACTTGGCTCCCTCAATTAATTCATGAGAATAACTTCTTTTAAAACCTCATTTTGTTTCAATTGGCGTGGAGGGGTTGCTCTAATAAGCAACTGTGTGCCATTCAAAAAAAAAAAAAAAAAAAATTGATTATGAGTTTCTTTTGCCTAAATTAATTCCTTTGAATACATGTACTGGGTAAATTGGCACTTGGGAAGTGTTGGGATGAACTTGAACTGAGCACCTAATCCATGCAAATTGGTCTAACCGTTAATCATCTGCCAAAAGTGTTCTATTTTTCTTCGCTGACAATATTACAGCTTGAATTCATAGCATTGTAAGAGATGGGAATTGTTTGATTGAAGTAAAGTGAGGCCACTCACATTGCTTTCATGAATTTATGAGAGGATTGATCATAGATTCCTCCTTTAAAGCAAGAAAGAGACAATCTCCAACTCTTATTTCTCAACCATAGCTTGTGGTACACGTTATCCGTTTTCATTTATTAGCTTCCGAGTCCAACGAACCTGTTTTTTTTTGGTAACTCAAGAATAGATCATCTTTAATCATTTTGGGTGGATACGAATTAGCATTAAAACCAAGAATTCTAACCCCCCGTTCTATTGAAACCAAAAAAGGAGATATAAGTTTTGTTGAAAGTCCAAAACTCCTGCAACTAAGTCACCAGATCTTCGTGGATAACAACACTGTTAATTACTAATAAAGAAGAAAATTTGAAAGAAACATACATACCTTTGCCTCCATTAGGATCATTCTGCCTTCAGGATTTAGCTGTTAATTATTAGTGTCTGTCAATTTTCAAACATCAATAAATTTCCACATCGGTTGCAAAATGCAAACAAATTGTTTCTATACTAATTATTGGGTGTATACTATCGGTCTAGCTCTTGAATTAAAATAAGCAAATTGTATATTTGCATGTGATTGTGTGTGCAAGTGGCGGTGGAAAAAAAAAAAAAAGAAATGTTATTTTTTAGCCGAAATATTCATATAAAAGAAAAAATTGTCTTGTTTGTGTACCGTTACCAAGAAGAGTAACAAGAGAGTAAAAGAACAAGACTTTTTTTTTTTTTTAATTATTATTTATATAACAAAGAAGCAAGGATTTTTTATGCTTTATGAAATTGATCTTTGAGCACTATGATAACAAAAAATTATATGACTTCACATAATATTGAGTTTCGCATAAACACAAAAATTTTACGAGATATCAATTTTTGTAGCGAGACAGATTTAGTTAGAGAGATAACTTGTATTATTTTCAATATTTTTGCTTCGAAGTTTGTCAAGAATCTTGAGTGATTGTATTGATTTCTTGATTATAATGAATTACTTCAAAGTTGGTCTTATTGCTATTCGACATATGGAACTTCTAATATTTTGATTAAGAAAAAAAAATCAAGAAGGTTTTTTGGAGTTGTTACCTAGTATTAAAAAAAAAAACTAAAAAACGTAATGAAGGCACTAGATTCGGAGATTTTGAGCAAATAGTTGGTTATGTTTTTGGAAATATAATAATCACCAAAAGATACCTTTTTTAAAAAAAGATGTCGGGTTTAGTCTAATTCTAGAAGTATCTCCTAAAGCGCTACGGTTGTCAAATTATTTTCTAAGTCTATTTCCAAACTTGTTGATGGAAACCAAGGAGCCAAATAGACCGGTAAGGTGATGTCTCCAAGGGAGATCCAAGATGGCGAGTTTGCAAGTTCAAGATCCGATCCATTACACATTAAAGATGACCCAATAACGAGAGTCGAGGCTAAGAAGCTTAAAGAAGCTCTCCATGGGTTGATTTAAGAGTATTGGCAAAATGTATTTTCAAGGGCCCGAGGGAGCAATGTGGCACCATCTTAAGAGAGGAAGAGAATGCAAGACTTGACAATATGATCTAAGTCCAAGATTGGGATTCTTAAATCATATTGGGTTATATATATAGCTTAATTATAATTATAACTAACTAATTAAGTCAAATTTGGGCTCAAAGTTTTAAGGCTAGCTTAATTAAAATTAGAACTAATTAATTAAGTTAAATTTGAGCTCACTCGCTTTAAGTCATATTATTTGTGTATGCTTTTAAGTCCATTAGGATTTGTTTTTGCTTTCCTTAGGTGGTAAGGATGTGTAAAGTTCTTTTAGGGTTGAGAGTGACGTGTTTAGCCTAGTTAAAGGTTGGTTTATTCTATTTCGGACTTATGTTATAATTTTGAGAATTAATGAATTTGATAGGATTTTCTTTCTTTGTTCTTTTAAGAACTAAATCGACTTATCAAGAATTGCAACCCTTGTGACATCTCCGGACTTATCATCCTATTAGGGTGTGGCGTTCTTCACTTTGTTGCATCATACCTTCGGTTCTTTCCTACTTATAGGTAGTAGGTCGGGTTACGCTCATTATAACTCGAGTGGGCGCATTATTGGAGTTGTCTAGCAATAAAGGTGTTTAGGTCTCTTGTCTTTATACATGAGGTTCACATTAGTTGGTATCAAAGCTTAGGTTGTGCAAAGTCAAGTTGGTTATCTATAGTCCTTGTGTCTTTTATTTCGTGTCTCTCATGTTTTCTTTATTGCATCTTCCTTGTTATTTTACCATAACTTTTCTTGTTTGAGCCTTGTATTCTTATGCTTGATAAGTTGAGTTAGTTCCAATTCAAAAAAAAAAAAAAAAGCCTTATTTGTTTCTATCCTGTTGTCCCATTCGTTGTTGTCATGTTTATTCCAAGTCTATCTTGTCATTTAATTCTAATTTTTTTTTTGTTCTAGATCTGAAAAAAACGTCCTAAGGTTACCAAAAAAAGAGTTATTGTGATATTCTTCCATTAAAAAAAGGCAATAGTAGAGATCTATATCATTAGATTTAAAATTAGTTGTTAAAAAAAAGTTTGGTTGGGTAAATTAATAACTAAAATCATAATTTGGGTGTGCTAAATTGTTTATGTTCAGCTTGTTATCATTATCAAATTTGTTCAAATTAGTAACTTTAAAAATTTAATTTGTGTGTTTCAAATCGGTAGCTTTAAAAATCTATCTTGTGTGTTTCAAGTCGGTAGTTAAATATTAAATTGTGTGCTAAATGATTGTGATTACTTCTTAAAAAAAAACAAATTGTGTGTCTTTTTTGTTAAATTCAATTCAAGTTAGTTTTGATGTCATTTTTGCCATCCAAAAAGTTAAAATTTTTATGTGAATTGGTTTGTCAATTCGTTGTTCCAATTCTATCCGAAATCTATTCCTTGGAAAGTGAAGTTATTAAGCACTTGTTTGTCTTTTACAATTGGTTAGTTCTTGTGTGGTTTGGATTAGTTTGCAAAAAAACTAAAGGAGTGAGTTAGAGTGGTAAAAGGCTAAAGAGTTTGAGCGTATTAAAGAAAAAACCTTAACGAAAGCAAACATGAGTGTTGAGTGTCATCAATTTGAGTGAAACACGCAAGGGAGTGTTTGTAAGGAATTTTTATTACTAACGAATTTTATGCGGGTTTTAAACATGTCAAAATATAAAAATCTTAAGAGAGAGGTTTGTTTGTTTTTTTTTTTTTTCTTTTAAATAGGGATGGTGATTTGATAAGTATATTCAAATAACATGAAAAGATACAAGGGGGACAAACCAATCTAGCCCAATAGTTTGGGAGGACAACGAAGCCTAAACCTTTATAAATTTTAAAAAAATTTCTTAAAAACTAGCTATCACAAAACATGCAAAAATAACCACCCAACCTAATGGTAAATAACACAAAATGAATCATCCTAATTAGGTTGATAGTTATGAAGTCCTAATTTATCTTCTAAAATTGTAGCTTGATAGAAAGGAGGCAAATCGGTAATTGAGAATACGATTTTGGAAGAAAAGTGCTAGAAGGCCCAATTGGCTAGTCTATTCTTTGCCATGTCACCTTTTCATATGTATGTAGGGGACCCATGTCTTGGAGGATATATTCCTTAAATTGCCTAATTATATATGTTTCATTGCCAAGGACATGAACTAGTGGAGGAAAAGCAACCCAAAACCAAACCCAAATTTATTTTTACATTGTCAACTATTAAAGATAATTCACTATAGAGTTTTAGTCCCTCTAGTAATGCTAAAGCTTCCATTTGGTATTCATTCCCATGCCATAGCAAAAGAGAAGGCCAAAATAAGATTACCTCTACCATCCCTAAGGACTCCTCCCCACAACGAGATATTGTTCCTAGAAATACCATCTAATCCGGTAACCTCTCGCTCTAGACTAAAGCAAGCGGACATAACTTATCATGAAAGCCTCTATTAGTAGATGCGTGAAACGGAGAGGATAATTCATAAAGCCAAGAACTTACCTTTTATTTAATAGTTTGACTAGTCATTATTATGTTTTCAAATAACGACATGTTTCTTATAAGCCAAAGCTCTTAAATAATGCTGGTAAAATACCATCGTAGGGGCAAATTATTTATGAGTTCGAGGTTTACCTTTTATTAGCCACCATGTAGATAATTGGTTCACATTGTTTGCTTCAGTGGCTGAATCCAAAATCTAACCAAAGTAATTCCAAACCTCATTCCCAATATCTCTATGGATGAAAAGATAGGAAACATATTCTTCTTTTAGGGTGTAACAACATTGACATTTGAAAACCAAGGGGATGCTACAAGCTTTAATGTTATATTCCACAATAATAGCATTATGAATAACTTTCCGGACGTGGCAATGTGAATAACTTTACGGACTAGAACACCGATCTTTTTGGAATCCAAGCATGCCATAGATTTCTCCACCATTCAAACTTTAGAGTAGTGACTCTCATTTCTTTATGATACAATTTGGAGGATAATTTCCATAATTTGTTTCCTATAAACATTAGTTTATCTACTTCATTAATAGTCATATCACATTATCCAATTCTAATTGTATCGGTGGGGACAAAGACATGTAAATAGACATGTCCCGCTTCGCTTGTTGAATTGTGATGTGCAAGTTTTCCATAAGTTATGGAAATTCGATATCGACCATTTATCTCTCTAAAAGTATATTCGCATGCCCCTACTCTTCAAATGGAATGATCTAGCAAGTAGTAAATATATTGGAATAATGTTTTCTATACTAATGAACCCTTATGATTGCTGACCTAACTTGATGAATAAAACTTCCCATACTTGGCTCTCATAAAAGAGATCCATAGAGAAGAGCTTGTTAGAAATGCCAAGCCAATTTTTCTTTCATAGCAGCTCATCACCTCATTAAGATTTTTGATGCCTAAAACACCTTTCTATACCGAAAGTGAATAGCATTCCAATTAAGCCACCGTTTGAAAAACACATCTTGGGCTAAGATAAACAATGCCGAGGATAATGGATCTCCCTACCTCACACTATGAAATGACTTAAAGAAGCCAAATAAAGAGGATTTAAGATAAAAAGAGTTCCAATAATTGGATATACATTTGTATATCAGCTCGCGCTACTGCTAGTAAAACTAAATCTATCCAACACACAAAGGAGGAAGGACCATTTTAGTCTTTCATATGCCTTGGACATGTCAATCTTTAGGATAATATTATCTTCATGTATCTTTCTATCAATATCATTGAATAATTCTTGAGCCAATGCCATATTCTCTTAAATCAACCTTCCTTTGATGAAGTCGGATTGTTCTCTAGAGATTAAAGTTGGAAGCACTACACTCAATTTGTTTGTAATAATCCGAGATAATATTTTGTAGGAGAAGTGCATAAATTGATGGGGGTGAAGATCATTAAACTTGGTAGGATTTA